CGGTTTCAACAGCTGCCGAATCTGGAGCCTGGGACAGAACAGCTGGGGCACTGCCCGGTAGGTTCCCACAGGAACAACCAGGCAGCACCCCAGCTGCTCTACCTGAGGCGTCCCACAGGTGGGCGGGGGGGGGGGGGAGGAGGCACACTAGCTGCGCCCCCTCCCCCCCAGCAGACCAGAGAGACCCGAGCAAAGCCGCGGAGGCGCAGAGGTCCCGCCGCCTCTGCGGCTTTGCTCCGGGGCAAAGAAGCAAAGCTGCACGGGCAGCGGGGTCCCGCCGCCTGTGCGGCTTTGCTCGGTTCTCCCTGCTGTGCTGGGGAGTCCCCCCCAGCACACCAGGGAGACCCGGAGCAGCTTTTCTTGCCCCAGAGGACGCGGTGGCGGGACCGCTGCGCTCTGGGCGGTCCCGCCGCCCGCGAGCTCCGGGGCGAGAAAAGTCGGATCTGCGTAAGTCGGGGACTGCCTGTAATTAATCAATGGTCACAGTAGATTCTTTATCGCTGACCTTTTTAAAATCCAGATTTGGGTGGTTTTCTAAATGCACTGTAGGATTCGTTTACGGGGAAGTTTTATGGGCTGGTGACCTGTGTATATAGTAGCTCAGACTAGATGATCACATTTGTACCTTCTGGTTTTGGAATCTGTGAATGTTAGTTGAGTGTTACTCCACCAGCCCAATCAAGTTGGATTGCATCAACTGTATTGGTCCTGTGTTTTTGAGAGTTAGGGCAACTCAAAGCCTCAGAGGAAAATTGAATTCTTTTATCAAGGTTTGTTGCTTACTTATAGCATTAAGGATGGAGTATCACTGAACAATTGAGAACAGAAGGACATGGGAGGGAATATGTACATGGCGATTTATAATATTTGTTGCAGTTCATGAAATAGAGGAAAGTAATTCTTACAAGTATTTTTAAAATGTGTATTTAAACAGGCCAGCCACCTCCTGTGTGGCCCCCTTGTGGCCTAGCTACAGGTTACCTGACAGTTTTCATATTTTCAAATAGTGTCATATCAGGTTTTTCTTAGTGAAAAATTCTTCTCCTTAAAGGTTGTCCTTTATAGTTACTTAATCTTCCCTTATGCCTTATTCTCTAATCAGGGTTAACTAGTCCCAGTCTTTAAGGAGTGAGTCACTTTGTTAAAGTGTGAAATAGATTTTTCAGAATTATCATTTCTCTCTCTCTTTTTTAAAATTGGAATTTAGCTTCTTAGAATGTATTGTATCAGAAGCAGAGTGCAGTGGTGAAGGGCCATGCAGCCCCATGGGAGCCGGTGCTTGCAGCGAGCCGATTGCACGTTTACATGTGAGGAGAAAAGTCAGCTCCAGTGCTATAGGCCCTGTAGAGCCGCCTTCCCCCCACATAAACATGTAACTGCCACAAATTTCAGCAGGTACATTATTACAAAACCCACTTTTTAACATCCTTTGTTTCAACTTTTTTTTCTGGGTTGGTGGACATGGGCGCACAAAAATCTTTTTGGTATGATGTGTGTCTGTTTTTTTTGGTAGATGCATTATCTTTTACAAAGCAAAATTTGAAATCTTTGGGAATGCAATGATAAAATTTGGTATTTGTCCTAAAATGTTTTGGAAATTGTCAATTATTTTGAACATGTAAGTGTAGTCTTCTAAATTCCTGGAGAGTCTCGGTGAACACCAAGGATGGGAGGAGTGTGCCTTTAAATGTTGTGTACAATGTTCTCTCCCATATTCCTTTAGAATGATTAATGAGGACTTGTGTCTTTTCCAGCAATTCTGAGGAGAAAGTAAGAGTTGCCTTGAATTCTTGCTATTCAAGCTAAATCTTTGCTATTCTCCAAAGAGTTCAGTGCTATTTGTAACACATCCATGTTGGTGGGGTGGGGGCAACCTATTGGATGAATACAAGGAATATTAAATGAAATATAAAATGAGCTTGTTAGGATCATTATAAGGTCTTGTATGCTGATATGGGATCTGATGCTGTCTTTAAAAGTACATGTTTTGGATTTTTGTTTTCATAGGATGGTTTGGGCAGACGCTATGGAGCCCCCCAAAGCTCAGGGCAGCCACTCCAGACTGTCCTGTGGTCAGGAGGGCTTTACATATACTGGTAAAGAATAAGGTTATCTCCAAGCATGTTCTGCCTATAGTGAATTGGTTTCCAGACACTGAAGCCTTTTGAGAATTCAGTGTTGTATGTTACAATTCTTGTTTTATATAGCAGGCTCAGGGCTCTGTTTGAACTAGCCACTTGACTTTGAATTGATGATGTATATAATATCTCAGAGCTTGTTGTGACAATTTCCTGTGTAAAAAATATCATTGTACTGCAGCTTTTTAGTTTTTAAAGTTTTCAGGAAGGTTAGTGCTATTATTAAATTAATGGGTTTCCAACTGACACTGCGTGATTTTTTTTTCAAGAATTTTCCAGGGAAGTGGTGGATAGATGAGTGTGTGCAATTCATATAGTGTCAGATGTATATTGTCTTAAAATAGATAACTTCCTTTGATGCCGTTTAACATAATGACCTGTTCATAAGATTATGATTTCCATCTAGTATTACGAGTGTTTCACAGTTATATTGCAGACTGCATACAGGGTTCTTTGGAAGATTTTTTTTGGGGGGGGGAGGCCAAAAATTGAGCAAGACCTTGGTACAAGTATTAAATGCCACTGTAGAGCAGGTTGTGAAGGCGGGCATTTCATGTAAAAATCAGTAACAGTTTTTATGTATTTTTAAGGGACGATCCTCTTGGTACTTCCTGGTTCACAGAAAGCATCTGAGAATGTCATTTAATTGAGTCAAAAGTATCTGCTATTGGCCTTGTTCGGTTTTCAGATAAAATTGTCAGAATCTTGTAAGAAGAATGGCATTCACAGCCAGATTCAGTGACTGGAACCTAAAATTATCAATCCGAACTTCAGGAAGTGCATGAAATTTGACTTAAAATCACTTGTGCTTTTGGTCCCTTACACTATACACTCGAATCTCTTTAATCCAGCAGCTGTGGGAAACAGGGTATGCCACGTTAAAGATTTTGTTGGGCCAGGGAGAGCTCTGTAGGGTCTGGGTGTGAGGTGGTTGGGGTCAGGCACACTTACCTGTCGCCCTGCTTCTGGAGGCAAATGTGGCTCTGCACTCCCTGCCACTCCCAGGCACTGCCCCCTCATCACTATGGGAACAGTGAGGAAAATCTTTAGGGGAATCAACTTTGCAGTTCTCCCAGCGGGGGTGAGGAGAAGGCGTGGCAGTGTCCAGAGCTGCTTCCTTCTCCATACCATGGGTGTTCTTGGATTCGGGACACCGAGAGTATGGAGATTTAAGTGTAATTGTATTTGTGCATGCAGCCCATTGCATCTCTGGGGAGCCCCATTGACTTCAAGATAAGAGGCTGTCTGCCTTGATCCAGGTCTAGGTTCAGGTTCTTAGGTAGCTAGTTTTAGGCTTGACAGCATATGTAGCAAGGGTTTGGTCAATATGTAATTACTTGTTTGAACACTGGAAGTATTGAAAATTCATTATACACAAAATACTTCTCTGAATGGAGCATTAAGCTCCTGTGGATGCCCTCTTATCTTTTTTTCCCCACTTAAGCTTCCAGAATTTGCTTTTCAGCTTATAGGCAGAATTCCTATCTGAATAATGCTTCTTTCCGAACAGTTTATTTACTGTTATTGCAAGGAACACCTAAGATTACTACAACAATATACATAGAGAAAAAATAATCTTCCTTTGAGCTTAATATGACAAGGTTCACTGTCATGGTGGGAGGGATAGCTCAGTGGTTTGAGTACTGGCCTGCTAAACCCAGGATTGTGAGTTCAGTCCTTGAGGAGGCGAGTTGGGGCAAATCTGTCAGAGATGGTACTTGCCCCTGCCATGAGGACAGGGGACTGGATTAGATGACCTTTCAAGGTCCCTTGCAGTTCCTTGAGAATGTGTATCTCCATATATTAAAAACTGTCTTCCTTTTGTGAGTGTAGATTTTTCATACAGCAATGCAGAAGAAAAGCCATTTTAAAAATTAGGAAAATGTTGGTGCACAAAGATTGGTTCAGATATTTGAGCAGGCATAATACCCAAAACAGGTTTTAACTCCCTTCAATTGATATTTAAATTATTAGTGTCCCTCTTACTAGGGATGTAAGCAACTAGTCAGCTAGTTGCTTCCTTCCC